TTCTCAAAATCCAGACGTAGTGAAGAGTCTTGAGAAGTATGTTATGGGATAAGTGCTCTCGTGGAACACATTCACCAGTAGGAAAATATGTTGCTTGATATTTTAAAACTCAAACACGGTATCTCACACACACACACACACACACACACACACACACACACACACACACACACACACACACAGGTCTTCGCGACCGAACGAAGAGTGCTCTGGAGTCGTAGTCAAACGAACCCGGATTCGGTTCCCAGTCGAGGCAGAAACAAATGGACAGTGTTGTTTCACTTAATGCCTCTGTTCGCCAAGCATTAAGTATGTATCTGGCCCTTAGACAGCTACTACGGGCTGCTGCTTGGAGATATATGTCTGAGAGAAATACAGGATGTAGAAATGCTTAGAGAAAATTAGGTCTTGAGTAAATACATAAGACAACCATTGATTTGAAAGGCCAGGTCCAAGAGCTAATAGCTGCATCCTGCAAAGTACAATTATAAAATAAATAATAATACAAACCAACACTGAAGCTTCATTCAGTATTTTAACTTGCAATGCGTTGCAAACAACTTCCTCCGTGTTTGCTCTTGCCAAGAGAGCTTAAAAAAAAACACGCACACACACACTGTGTAATTTTCCGCACGGTGTATCAGATGCGGGTTTCGCATGCTTTAATTCCAAGATGCGGGCCACGGGGCCAGGAAGATGACACTTAATACATATACAGTCAAGTCTGAAGCCCGCACGGCTGGAGTAAACATAGTGTGCAAACGACCGGTTGACCAATATAGTCGCTGTTGCTGGATATACTTGCTGGATGGGGGTTCTGGGAGCTGTTCTACTACCCAAGCCCCGGCCCGGGGCCAGGCTTGACGTGTGAGAGCTTGGTTCAACAGGCCGTTGGTTGTTGTGACAACTGATGCTGCACCCTGAATGATTGGTAAAACAGCAGGATTTGCAAATGTGGACGTCTATTGGTAGGCTTTTAATAGTATTGTACACAAGACGGAATTGTGTACAAAAGCTGCCCCCTAAGGAACTTTAAGAAGTGATGAAAATTTTAACCAAGACAGTTAATTATATTTCTGAGCGGCTTTGAAAAAAAAAACATTTTCAGAATTTGCTGAGCGAGGTGAATTTAGTGTATACAGAACTACTTGTGTACAACAGTGAACGATGGACTTGTTGACGTTCTGTCTTTGAATGATATGTCGAGTAGTTGGATGAAATTCAGCTGTTTTGACGAATGTGTGAATTTAAAGAATAAAGTTTTCTTAAAGTTTTCGTCGCCCACTTAAACGACTTCAACACTAAATTACGAGATCTAGCAAAATAGTATGTTGTTTGATAACAAAATATCCTTCTAAATCAAACTGTTAATATTTTGACGATGTCGACAATATAACACTTTAAAATACTTTAAAAATGAAAAAAAAACATGACAGCTCTTGAAATTTGCGAGAAAAAAGACATTCAGAGTTTTGTAATTAAATTTTTTAGGATAATTGATTCAAATGCTAATAATTTTTTTATAAATATTCACAAAATTTAGGTCATTTGAAGACACAACAAAAGTCATAGAAGTGTGCAGTGTAACATTGGGAAAACTGAATTTAGTAATGGTGCATGGGATTGATTTGGATAATTTTGAGATGCAATTGCAGCAGCTCAACAAAGCAGCTCAATTTAGAGGAAAAATTTGTCGACTTATAACCTGAACAACAAAGTATGGAAAGAGATGGGTTAATGACTGGATTTACGCTCAGAATTGACAGAAAAATGAGGTTTAAAAAACCCTGGAATTCCGTGCATGAAACCTTCGAGTATCTGAAAAATCTTGCAGGGGCAATATTAACAGTATTTACAGCCACGTATTCACGCGAGTCATAGTTTTCAGCGATTAACTTTGTCAAGTCTAAATACACGAGTAAACTTACTGATGAAACTACTGTTGCACAGCTCTCAAAAAGATCAAACACAAGATCGGATATAAAAAGATTTGATATAAAAAGATCTGATAGCGAAGCATATCACCAAGAGTACAAATGAACTTAATTCTTTGATTTATTTGTTTGTAATAATATGAACCCAAGTCTATAATTGACCGTTTACATCTCCTGTTGTTTAATTAAAAGGTAAAAAGAGTATAAAAAATTTAATTGGCTTGTTAAATGAATTATTAATAATTTCATTAACAGACGTTCTTAATTTTTTTATTTATTTCAATCTACCTTTCCTTAAAGCAATTAAAATAAACATACACGTAAATATGCAACAGGACTTCCTTTTCCTTAACAAAGTTCATTATAGTTGCTACTAATTCATTAATTTTACTTCATGGAAATTGCTAGTTATTAATAATTCATAGAGCTGTACCATTAAAAACAATGCAATAGAGATATTGGTCGCCTAAAGAAACATATTAAAAAATATTATTAAATGTTATTAAAAAACTAGCATTTTGTTTTCTTCCGATATACAAAGAGTAAAATACATATATAATAGTAATTTATAATCTGCAGCTCAAAATTTCTATGGACATGCGAGATCATGTTTAGAAAATTACCGCCAATTAAGGCCCGCGCTCCCAACAACGCTCCCAGCCCCTGGAGTCAGAAATAAAAATTTCGTGGAGACATAATGAGTGTGAAAGTGAGACTAGAGAAATGAAGAGAGCATTCCGAGATGGTTTAAGAATGGAGACAACTCTAGAGGTCCTATTGGCCCATACGAGGCAGCTGTGGCCATGTTCAGCATAATGACTATGGCAATTTAAAAGGATGACTTAGGGCCAGGATGCATGACGCATTTACGTAAGCACATACGAAACCTGTATATCTTTCCTCAATCATAGCGGCTTAATTTTCATTTATTTATAAAATATATTCTAAACTACGAGGTTAAACCCCTACCAACAATACCCTTGGAGTCGAGAACGACCTCGGAGCACTATTTGGTAACTATTAAATGAAGAAACAGTACACAGTCATGATCGAGGAAAGATACAAAGGTTTCGTACATGGACTGGTAAATGCTTCATAAATCCAGGGTGCGTTGGGTGACTTCTGGAGTGTAGTAGTGTTTCTTTATTCATCATGCAGCAAAATGCACCTCTGTGATGTACTGTGAATAATTTAATGGCTGGACGTGTGATATTTTTAATATGCTTTGGAACAATATTTAATATTTATAACCTTATACAATATTATTTATACCCTGGATGATACCACTCACCCGAGAGTTGGAAAGGCAGTAATGATATATATATATATATATATATATATATATATATATATATATATATATATATATATATATATATATATATATATATATATATATTAGTATATTTTGGTAGCAGTCTTTCCTGTAGACATATATTATTAAATATGACCGAAAAAGTAAGATTAATAATTCTAACACGAATTTTCTCGATCTTTCGTACGTTTCTTTTCACTGTTGGTGGTAATTCAAAAATCAATTCTCCAAAATTCATTTTTATTTCTAGTCTGACGCGACACTTGAGCGCGTTTCGTAAAACTTATTACATTTTCAAAGACTTTAGCTTACACATACACAACTGAATAGAACTTACACGAGAGAGAGAGAGAGAGAAGATTAAGCCACCCAAAAGGTGGCTTGGGCATGAATAGCCCATAAGTGGTGGCCCTTTTGAGCCATTTCCAGTATCAATAGATGATACTGGAGATCTGTGGAGGTGCGACTGCACCTTGCGTGACGGGAGATGTCTCCCGTGAGAAGAGAGAGAACTTACACATCTTCGATTTGTTTATATCTACATTTGAGTGAGGTGGATGGGGTGAGGTGGTATTAATAGGGTATTAAATTCCTAAACAAATTTAATGTTTGTTTAGGAATTTCTTTAGGAATTTAATACCCTATTAATACCACCTCACCCCATCCACCTCACTCAAATGTAGATATAAACAAATCGAAGATGTGTAAGTTGTATTCAGTTGTGTATGTGTAAACTAAAAGTCTTTGAAAATGTAATCAGTTTTACGAAACGCGCTCAAGTGTCGCGTCAGACTAGAAATAAAAATGAATTTTGGAGAATTGATTTTTGAATTACCACCAACAGTGAAAAGAAACGTACGAAATATCGAGAAAATTCGTGTTAGAATTATTAATCTTACTTTTTCGGTCATATTTAATATATATATATATATATATATATATATATATATATATATATATATATATATATATATATATATATATATATATATATATGCATGCAATTGACGATCACTAAACACTGAGCATTTGTATGCGGAAAAACCACAAAGAAATGGGAAAGAGAGGTGAACGTTTCGGCCTGTTAGAGGCTTTGTCAACACCAGACTGAGTCTGGTGTTGACAAAGTTATATATATATTTTAATATATAACTATATATATATATATATATATATATATATATATATATATATATATATATATATATATATATATATATATATATATATATATATATATAATCACCACCAATTTTACCCTTTGATTATTCTAAGTAGCAAAAATAATCAAACGAGTAATTCAGTGCAACTCAGTTATCTGACATCTGCACTAAGGGAAGCAATAATAATAATAATAATAATAATAATAATAATAATAATAATAAATTCGGCAGCTTGTTAAACAGCAAATTAAGACATGAAGGAATATAGCTTAGTGATGAAAGATCTCACAGTTTGGGCAAGAAATCTCTGGGTCGGGGTTCACCAAGCAAAAATGCGACCACTTGCGAAACCTGTGCATGTTTCCACAATTATTGAGAGTTTCCTTTCATTTATTAAACACTTTATGAGTTTCGAAGCATCACGAAGCTGCTTATAACAATCTGAACGTTACAGTGTGACATTCCAGATCTCGGAAATTGTTTAATAAACTGCAATGATTGTAGAAAGATGAACAGGTTTCGTAAATGGTTGGGTAATGTTTGAAGAACCGTGGCCCTGAAACACACAATGTGATTCGGACGACGTACTTATCGTAGGCTGAGTGTGAGGACAAGACAACGCCAGCAGGAATAGTGCCAGTAGCGTCCCGACTGGTGGCCCTCTCATGGTGGCTCCCTAGGTACCTCACGCCTCACGTCTGGCACCTCACGCCCTCACAAGACACCTCATGCCCTCACGAGGCACTTGAATGGCCGTACACATGTCTACCCTGAGAGTCAACTCACCGCTCACGTGCGACCTTCACTTTCACACACACTCTCTCTCCACAAGACAACATTTTCTCCTGGAGTGTTTCTGTAAGAATCCTAAGTCATGTGTGGTACTTGTCATGTTTAACCTACGCTATATTATACGTTATTTAAGATTTAAAAGTGCTTTTATTTTCAGTTTTAGGTGTATTTTCTTCCCCTTTTATATAATTTATTTCCCAATTTTGGGATATTAATATCACGCGCTAACTTTTTAAAAGTTTTAGGAGTTGAAAAGTAATATTGAAATATTCGTTTCAGTGACCGACACGTTATCTGATCAGCGTCATACACCTGCCGGGATATCGCGTGAGTGAACACTGCGTCATTAACTAGAAGTATCTGTTGGTAGCTTTAAGGAGCGAGACTGAAGCAGATATCAGAGCGTGAGAAGCCACACCACCTCTCGTTCCCACAGTCGTATCAACACTGCCGGAACACCAAGTTCCCGGACTTCTAGCGACCAGGAGGAGCTGCCGGATGTCGCCACATCTCCCAACATGCGATAAACCGCTGGAGAACCTATATTTTTTTATTTTTTGAAGTGGGAGGAGGGGGGGGAATGTTTCTCTTCCGTGAACATTGCCTTCTGTGTTATGCGCGTTCATAAAAGCACGAAATTAGACTTCTTTCGTGAATATATTAATTTTTGTTTGTTCGGGTGGTTGAGGAAGGGGGAGGGAGGAGGTTGGTTGCATACTTGTAGGTTCAGTAACCGAAGGTAATGGATTCCTTCCCACAGGCTCTTGTTCACTAAGTGGCAGTTTGGCAGCAGCTGCAGAACGTCTACGGTACGTTGGCATGGAATGTAATAATTCTCACCTTGCTCGGTGTCGCAGTGTTTCTCTCTCTCTCAGTCTCTCTCTCTTAGTCTCTCTCTTGTAGGTCCTCTCTCTCAGCTTATCTACCTCAGCTCCTGTCTCAGAACCTCTGTCTCAGTTCCTCTCTCAGCTCTTCTTTTTCAGTCTCTCTCAGTCTCTCTCTCTCTTGCAGTCTCTCTCTCTCAGTCTCTCTCTCTCTCTTGCAGGTCCTCTCTCTCTCAGCTTATCTCCCTCAGCTCCTGTCTCAGAACCTCTTTATCAGTTCTTCTCTCAGCTCTTCTTTTTCAGTCTCTATCTTGCAGGTCGTCTCTCTCAGCTTATCTCCCTCAGCTCCTGTCTCAGAATCTCTGTCTCAGGACCTCTCTCAGCTATTCTTTCTCAGTCTCTCTCTCTCTCCCAAACTATTCCAAACAAAAAATTAGACACTTCACGAAATATTGATTATAAGCTTTCTGAAATATATTATTTTTTGAGTTAGAAAGTTTAATTTAGTATCTTGAGTGTGTAACATATTACTTTCAAGTTCAAACATCTACAGTTATATTGTTTGGGATTATATATGAATGCTGATTGTGGTGCTTGGCCTCCTATAACGCCGACTCTACATTGCCTCATATAATGGCCGACTCTACATTGCCTCCTATAACGGCCAATTAGAGATTGTAGAGGGTATAATTTAGAGCAAGGAACTGGAAGATAATCGAGATGACAGTAGGCCGCAGATAAAATACAATGAAGTCAAAAACAGAGAAGAAGCAAAAAAGAAGCAATCAATATGTGATTAGAATTAGCACAGCAACAAAGCAAAATCAAGAAACAAAACACAACACAATCAAGAAAATGCAAATACATCACTATCAAGACTAGTAGTACACATTTAAAACACTTTAAGCTGCAAACAAGAAAAAACAAACAACATAATTTAATCATAGCAGTGAGATACTCTAATGATATTTTCAATATAGACAAACTTTATACAAAATACTGAATCACGAAACTTAATAATAACTTTATAGTGAATCGGGCCCGAGCGAAAACTGATATAACAGTACAAGTCGGCCATTATGGCTCTGCTGCCAATTTAGGCGAGAGAGACCATTGCTAAAGCTCAGTGAAACTTTTTATCACTTAGTGCTAGATACTTTCCTCGCCAAGTGTGTCATAAAGAGATTGTACAGCAGAATTTCCTGGTCTGAAAGAGACCATCATTTGGTAGAAACGTTTATAATGAGTCCTGCCGCGTTTTTCCTAATTGGCAAATGACATCATTTGCTTTCTGGGATACTATTTCTTTTTTAGGTGATTTTTATTGCGTCCGTTTAAGTGTCAGGGTCGATGACTGCTCGTTCATGTGTCAGGGTGATATGTGTCCGTTCTCATCGACACGTAAAGTGGTTAAAGGGGGGGGGGGCATATATATATCACATAGAGGATAGAAGGGGAGGATATGTATCACATAAGGGGTTTAAGGGAAAATGTAACACACAAGGGTTAAGGGGCCTGTAAGACAGCGATTAGAGGGTACACATAACCCAGGGATTAGAGGACACATGTAACACAAGGACTAGAGGAGGCATTTAACCCAGGGATTAGAGTGGATACGTAAACCGGGGACTGGATTAGAGTGGATACGTAAACCGGGGACTGGATTAGAGTGGATACGTAACCCGAGGACTAGAGTAGACATGTAACACAGGCATTAGAGGGGACACATAACAGAGCACGGGCAAGAGAACTGGAGGATTGACGTGAAAGGTTGCAGGAGAGGGGGAGATCTCGAAGTGCACAGCAATTAATTGCAAAGTGAGAGTGAAAAATTGAACAATGAACTGCTGGTCTGGAGTCAGGGGTTCTGGTATTTGGTTTCAAGAACGGAGAAAATACTTTTAGGGTTCTGGCAAGGATGTGGCGAGTGAGAGTAGTGGATGGCAGAGTGATTGTAGTAGAGGTTGAGGGGTATTAAGAAGATGCAGAGAAGAGACAGAGAAAGTAAAGATCTGATGGAGAGAAAGGGTGAATAAATATGTTACAACAGGATTGCTACGTGGGAATATTGCACTTCAAGTTGCTCTTCTACAGACCCTTCACGGAGTACATGAGTATTTCATTACCAAAATATTTTGATTCAACCAATCCTCTCCAAGCTTATCATTGTTTGATGCCAGAGGGAAAGGGATCACTCATCGCAAACAATAGCCATTTCCCTTAGTGACAAATAATTTCCTGAATCCGACGTTACTAATCCCAGTCAAACGCCTCTCGTTAGCTCATGTTGTGGACAAAGCAGATGCATGAAATCTAAATATTCTCGGGGAACCGTTTCCGACACAATTGCGTTAATGATTCTCCATAAATGTGTGTGTTGCAAAAGCAACGTGTAACATTCACCCTAATTGCACGATACAACGACGATAAAATAGCTTACATCCCAGCCAATTATTCTAGTACTCCTCTACAGCTATAGCGTCAGCAACAACTGAATGAGGACAACGACAACTCGGATAATTAATCGACGTTACTAGAACTTTTTAGAATTAAGAAAATCCCTTTGTTTATATCTCAAAGAGGATGGAGAGGCCGTATGAAACTAAGTATGGTTTGGCTTGCCTAGCTTAGAGCAAGCCAGAGAAGGTAAGAGCGGTGTGTATAATATATATATATATATATATATATATATATATATATATATATATATATATATAATTTTTTTTTTATTTAAATATGGAAGAGAGTACCACCTCTGGCTAAAAGAAGGGGGACCCATAGCCTCGGAGGAAACCACACATAACGCATTAGAGGGAATGTTTAGATCCCCTCCAATACAGTTTCTGTGTGCTTTTCTCCTACCACCCCCTTCCTTTTTTATTTTTTGTGCTTTATTATGTATTTGATGTATATATATAGACATTTCATTTTCACTCATTTCCGCTCTTCCCCATTTTCACTGCATCACCCCTTTCCATTCTTTATCCACTTCTCCTTGGTCCCCCATTTCGTCCCTCCCCTCGTCCTCCCTCTTTCAGTCTCCCCTCATTCACTTCAGAACGTTTATCATTACGCAACACTGAACAACTATTGAAAACCCACTAAATATTTCACACACAATGAAAGTTGCATGGTCTCTTCAAATGCTTTTGTTTCCTAGTATTTAACTAAGGTGGACCCTGACCTGATGTCTATGTCCGCCCTATATTCCTGACCATTTCCCTTGCAAAGCTGCGTGAGGATAGCCTCAAGCGTGTATACCTTCCAACCATGAACAGACACTCCTATGAACAACTCCTAAATCTTTTACTAACCATTCTTATACCTTTTTTATCGCATCTATTTGATCATATCACTTCAGATTTTAGTGCTAAATTCCTTCCTCTAGATAGTTTTTTCTGTCCTCTTTCCATCCCGACGCCCGGAGCGCCTTACCAGAAGATGAACGGATCTTTGGAAGAATAATATTCATGTGGAAGAGTCATACAATATGCTGTAGTGTTTACTGAGAACTTCCATGGTCTTAGTGGGTATTCAGATAGCACTGAGACCGAGGTCATTTTAGCCCAGGACGCGTCGGAAGCATACAGGCTTGGATCAAAGGGATTATTGGAATGCAAGTTGGTAAAATATCTTGTGAAAGCACGCTGGATGATGCAATATTACATTAAACAGAAATTAACATACACAATGATATTGTTTTCTTAACTATTTTTATACTGAAGGAAAAAATATATAACATGCATAAACACTATTTTCATCACCCACACACACTCATTAGTGTCTTTTATTATGTTACCGTTGTTGGTGAAATTAATTACTTTTCGAAAATATATCATCTTCTATCTGGTATACAAATTTTACCACAATTATGATTATATATTTAAATATGAGAAATTCATTTTCAGGAATATATATATAAATAAATAAATATATATATATATATATATATATATATATATATATATATATATATATATATATATATATATATATATATATATATATTAGTATATTTTGGTAGCAGTCTTTCCTGTAGACATATATTATTAAATATGACCGAAAAAGTAAGATTAATAATTCTAACACGAATTTTCTCAATCTTTCGTACATTACGCTTCACTGTTGGAGGTAAATCAAAAATCACTTCTCCAAAATTCATTTTTATTTCTAGTCTGACGCGACACGGGCGCGTTTCGTAAAACTTATTACATTTTCAAAGACTTCACAAATACACAACTGATTAGAACTTACGTATTCTCTGATTTTATATCTACATTTGAGTGAGGTGGGAAGGGTGATGTGGCATTAACACAAGACAGAACAAGGGGGGATATTAATAGGGTATTAAAAGTATCAACACAAGACAGAACAGAAACAATGGGTATTGAATAGAAGTGTTTGTAGAAAGCCTATTGGTCCATATTTCTTGATGCTTCTATATTGGAGCGGAGTCTTGAGGTGGGTAGAATATAGTTGTGCAATAATTGGCTGTTGATTGCTGGTGTTGACTTCTTGATGTGTAGTGCCTCGCAAACGTCAAGCCGCCTGCTATCGCTGTATCTATCATAATAGATACAGCGATACAGCTGATAGATACAGCGATAGC